AATTTGATGTTTACTCTGAAAAATCGATGGAACTTTGAGTTTTGAGCTTTGAGCTTTGAATCAGGTCTATAATCCTTGAATCAATCGACGTTTACTTTGAAAAACATTGAATCATGCCTATAATCCTTGAATCAGGCCTATAATCTGAAAATTTTAGAGAAATCTCAATTTTTCATACCCCGGTTCTTCAGATTTTTCAGATCTTACAGATTTTTCAGATTTTTAAAACTTTGAGCTTTCAAAAATCTATATATTCGAATTTAAATCTCAAAACACACAAACACACACATATATATAGATATATATATATATATATATGTATCAGCGAGATTTGCAAGTTCTCCACAGCTCCGGCCATGGAGGAAGCTAGGATTAGAAGAGAGAGACGAGATAGAAGATGAACAGTTGAAGGAGAGTTGAAGGAGGAGAGTTGAGAAGATGCAGAGAGAGATCGTCGAAGCTTAGGAATGACACAGCTCCGGCCATGGAGGAAGCTAGGGTTAGAAGTGAGAGACGAGAGAGAAGATAAATTTTGTATCTGGATTGTGTAAATGTGAGGGTATAATAGTCTGATAAAATATTTAAATAATAAATTTTGTCCTTTATGCAAGATTTTAGAATTATGAGGGGGTTTAGAAAGTATAATTTTTTTCTTAATCCTTCTAATAATGAAAGGAAGGTAAAGGGGGTTTATAGCCAAATTTCCCTATTTTAAATCAATAAAACTCACATATCTATCACATGTTGAACTCGCATCATAACTTACGTAAATAATAATAATTAAAAACAAATGAAAACCAGAGATAAATTAAATTTTAAAAAAAAAAACAAATAGAAACCCACAACTCCATCTAAAATAAATTGAAAAAAAAAAGCAAATAAAAACCACACAAAAATAAAGAAGATAAGAATTTAGATATAGATCTCAAAAAGATATAACAATATCTAAGTTTGAATTATGATTTAATAATATAATTATCTATTTTTTTTTATGTATATCTACCAAAATTTTAAATCACTTAATGGGACAAAGTAATTCATTTTCTAAAGTTATTGATTTTTCAATTTATAAAATAGATTTTTTAAAAAAACTGTTGACTGATTTATTTATTTAATTATTTTAGAAATAATAATTATCGTTTAATTTATGAATTTCAAATAGAAAGATAAAAAAAATATTTCATAATCTCTACATCCTAATCTCTCTCACCGATTTCCAAAAAATATATTAAAACTTGCATGTCTTCTCTTTTTTTCCAAAAAATCAGATAATATTTTTTATGAAAGTTGTAAATATCTATATATATCTTATATATTATATTATAACATAACAAAAAAAATCTAAAAATCAAATATACAAACAAATAAAATTAATAAATTAGATTTTTATTTATTCAATTAAAATCTCTCTTTTGAATTTCAAAATCTAATTTTAAATTTTAAAAGTCTTTAAAGTTTATTTAAACAAATCTAATTTAAAAATATCTTCCACCTTCATATTTTAAATCAATAAAACCCAAATGTTTATCACATATCTAACCCATATCACAACTTACCTAAATAATAATAATAATTAAAAACAAATAGAAACCATAGATAAATTAAATTGGAAAAAAAAAATAGAAACCCAAACCTCCATCTTAAATAAATAGAAAAAAAAAAACAATAGAAACTACAAAGATAAAAAAAAAAAAAAAGAATTTAGATATGAATCTCAAAAAAATATTACAATATCTAAATTTGAATTATGATTTAGTAATATAATTATCTTTTTTTAATGTATATTTATCAAAATTTTAAATCACTTAATGGGACAAATTAATAAATTTTTAAGTCTTATTTAAAGAATAATCTGACTAGTTATCCAAACTCCTAGACTTCGCAGGCACTGGGGGATGAGCTAACAGATTGAGTTTGGTGAGGTCTAAGTTGTTGGAGGTGACATTCTCTGATTCCATAAATTTATTTGTTTTTTAATTTTATTTTTTTTCCATCTATGATTCCTTTTTTTTTGCTGTTGGTTTGGTTTTGGTTTTCGTTTCGGTTTTAGTGAGATTTATGTCTTTGTTTACAAGTTTGCATGGTGGAGAAAAATTATTGGTGATTATGGTTGCAATCGAAGTATCTATATCCATTCTGTGCCAATGAGTTTGATCAGATTTTATTTTCTTCAATAAAGACTATAAAATTGAAGTAAAAGAAATGGGTATTAAAATTTTTTATTTTTTATTGTCATTTTATTTTATAGAAAATGTGAAATTTTATTAAGAATTTAAGATTTTACTATAACATTAGGTAAATTTAAAAGTTTTAAATATCATTGTGTTATTTATTTTTATTCTCTTTCTATCCCATTATACCATTACTTTTATTTGTTAATTTATTAATTATAATCCAATTAATTGAAAAAGAAAGTTTAATATAACTTTTCATATATATTATAATTAATTTGTTATAGCTATAGTTGTATATAATAGCATAATATAGAGAGATAATCTCTAAATACAATTTCTATTTTCTTATGTGAATAGTCCATCTTAAATAGTATATAGAAGAGTTAGATGACTTCTTTTATCTCTAAAAAACTCAATCTATTTTTTTTTTTACTTTTTAATTTTTAAATTGAAATATCAATTGTTTATGTTCATAAAACAAAACTGATAGGCACATATCCAAAAACTTATTTTCTTAATATGTAGGATATTTATAAATGGAAAATGTTTGACACTTCAAATTTTTTTCCATAATCTGACTTATAGTGATGTAGTCATAAGTGTCAATTTTTATACAAATATGAGAAGAGAATTAATTAAATTATACATTTCAACCAACCACATATTCAAACTTTGACTATTTCAATATGTTATTTTACTATAATTCCAATTAAGAGAATCTTCAATCCTTAATATTTTTTTTTTATCAAATTATAATTTGATAAAAATTTAAAAAGATGAAATGTTGAAAGTTATTGTTTTTTCTATCAAAATTGGTGAGAAGAAAAAAAATAATTGGGATAAGAATGAAGTTCTTTTAAAAATTGATAAAAATTTAATGAAAAAGTTAAAGTAATTCATATCAAATCAGAATTTATATTTAAATTTAAAATCAAATTAGATAAAAAAAATTAAAAGAAAATGATGAATTTTAAAAAATATTTTGAAACCTTCTTATTATATTAAAGATTAGAAATTCGTGTGTGTATTATACTAGATGAGGGTCTAGGATAAGTATTGAGCCCCAGTCCATTGAAGTGAGGTTTCTAAAGGGATCATGTCACTGCTGATTATAAAAGCGAGGCATCCTCGTAGGTCTGATGTAAGTTATTTTTTGTAAGTTTAAGTATAATTTGCTATCTTTGAGAGATATGGATTACTAATTTGATCGTCGGAGTGCCCCCAGGTGGACGAACCACCGCCGAATCCTCATCTTCTTGCTACAAGGTGTTGGGTATCTATTCTGTTGGTGCTTTCTAGCTGAGTTCCCTATTTAGTTGTGTGATCAAAAATTAATACTCACAATATATTTTCTTAAGTATTTTATGTTTTCTACTGTTAATAAACTTTTTGAGAATTAAAAAGTTACAAATTAAATCATAAAATCAGAAGGGAAAGACTATGTGTGTCATATGTAATTTATAATTAAAGAAGAAAATGATATAATTCCATACTTTCTAAGTTATAACTAAAAAAAAAAAATCGTAACAAAAAATATAATGAGTTATAATTAAAATATTGTTATAATTAAAGAATAAAATTCATAATTAAAAAAAATTAACATAATTAAAAATACATATAATACACTCTTTTTAAAAAAATGTGTATTAAAATTTCTCTTACATTTGTCATCATTTATCATTTTTAAAAAAAAATATATCCTCTTTCACATTAATATTGAAAATTTTATTATTTATTGCATCATTGTATTCTCACTCTTCTGTTCGTTAATATATTTTGTTTCTATTATATACTAACTTTTACAAAAGTAGTAAGATTATCTCTCTTAAAATATGAAATAAGAGATGTATAAAATGTTTGAGAGACGAACAACTCATAGCTGAAAAAAGTTTAAATGATTTTTGTAATTTTGTTTAATAAAAAACAAAAGAGTGTAATTGAATACAATAATTTTTTTTTTCTATTCCCCCAATTATATCTCCAAGTTGTATTTAAATTTTGAATGTACGTAAGTAAAATTTTGTGAAAGAAAACAATAATAAAAAAAAAATTCCTACTATGTCGCAAAAATAATTACATGATGTTGTTTGTCAAAAACCCTAAATATCCTAAATGAGAATTTTTGATTGAACTAAATTGATATAAAATTTAAAATTTATAATCAAAATAGAAAATTATTTAATACTCTTAGAACATGTTTAGGTGAAGTTTCAAATAATCAGTTATTAATCTAAATAATAAAATCTATCACTTTTGTATTAAAATTTTAAAAGATAAAATATTAAGTTTCAATATGTTAATAGAATAAAAGTATTACTCCCAAGCATTGAATGGCAAAATAACACGCAAGTAAGGGACAAGCTGATGGGTGTTGAATTAAAATGTTTTTCTTATATTTTCTTGGGTTGATTATTGGAGTAGGCATTTTGAATTAAAAAAACTAACAACGACAGCAATGATCAATTATTAGATGTAACCTTAATATTACGTTTTAATATCATTATTTAACAAGCAATTTTATTTTGTAGTAGGAATAACAATAATGTTAAGCTAATATGAGACAATTTGTTTACTTAATCTATTTGTGAATTTTTGTCAGTCAGTAACATTACAATAATATCACGGGGTCATCGTCAATATTTTTTCAAACAACACCAGTAGCAGCAACAAGAAACAAAACATCGCTACATCAAAACAATCAAAAGATAAATAAATCAAAAGAATAAAGCTTCCGACCTCCAGTGGGGATGCTGGGGGTTGTGTGTGTCGAGCCGGGATTGGCCAAAAAAAAAAGCTGTTTCCTTTTTCTTTTTCTTTTTTTTTGTTTTCAGCAAATGGCATGCTGCCATGTCACTGGGGTCGGACCCTCACTGGGAGTCGGAAGCAAGGTTCTAAATCAGAAATAGGCAATCAAAACTCCCTCCCCAAGCACATGCCCCTCAATTGCATCCAATAGCTTATCCTTCGTCACCTACAGATGCCACCAAAATCACAACCATCTAATGCTACGAATTATGAAAAAAATATCATAAAAATAATTATGAAAGATTTTCTACCTTTGAATTATATGTAGAATAAAACACCACACACTAATCAAGGGATAAAAAATCTTCATAATGCATTTCATGAATATTATTCGTAACTCCGAATATTATTCATTTTAGTGATTTAGCAAAGAACCCAAATGAAATAATTAGGGTTAATTACAATAAGATTCTTCGTGAATATCATTTTATCCATAATCTTTGAATTTATACCTATTGATCCCTTAAGTATTAAAATTGTACAAATACATAACTTTGGAGGGATTTGAAGAGGGCCTGCAAGTATGGATGATTAATGAGCTAAACAGTTTGAGTTCGACTCATTCGATTAATTAAAATCTCATTCAAGTTCAATTCATTAAGTAAAAATTAATCTTTAACATATTTTAAAATTCATTATAGCTTTCAAATTTAGCTTAAACTATTAATTATTTATTCTACTCAATTTGCTAAGCTTAAAATTATATAAAAAATTCAAATTATTAAAACTTAGCTTGGCTCGGCTCAACAAATGTTTATTTAAGATTAACTCGAAAATTTAATGAACTAAATTTAAACAAATTTTGAAATCAACCCTAAGCAGTTAATTACTCAGTTTACTTAACTCGTTCATCTCCCCTATCTACAAAAAAAATGAAAGCGATACATTTCTACAATTGGGTCAAAATACGTACCTTGTTCCCGAGATGCAATTCATCGTCTAAAGCATAGACCTTGAACTCGAACCGATGACCCGGCGACGGCAGCTTCGGCCCACACCACCCAGGCACTTTCCAGTCGTTGTTCCCTTCTTTGATCCCACCATACTCACCATCACCACCCACCTCATCCTTCCCTGAAAACCCCTCCGGCAGACCCTTCAAAGTCGGAGGAATGTTGGCAACTACCCAATGGGTCCACGGCACGATCGGGCCATCCGGGTCAGGCGCATCAATGTCCTGTACCACCAGTGCCAGAGTCTTCGTCCCCTCCGGCACGTTGTACCATTCCAGAGGCGGCGATATGTTCTTCTTAGCACCTTGTCCATCGCCAGTGTACTTTCTCGGTAGCCTACCCTGGTGGTCTATGCCCGGTGATGCCAATCGAAATTCATCACTTGAATTCGCCATTGATTGATTGAAAGCTTTTTTGATCTTTGTTTGTTTGAGACTAATTGATTTTGGAGTGAAAGGTATGAATTGGTGTTTTGTGTGAGTTTTAGAACAGAGGTTAGAGAGGTGTGGACTGGTTTTGTGGGTCGGGTGACAAGTGTTCCAAGAAGTTTGGCGGTGGCGCGAGAAGTGGGGAAGGTACATGGGGTGGCTACACGTGGGAGGCTGTTGTGTATCTATGGGTTTGGTTTTGTTTCGTTTTGGAAATTGATTATATTTAATTTTTTAAAAAAAATATTGAAAAATATAAAAGATGATATGATGATTTTTTAAAAAAAATTGGTTGCGTTTGGTAGAATTTTGAAATTATAATTTGAGTGTGAAAAATTTGTTCCGTTATAAATTCTGAAAAGAGTTTTGAATAATTGATGTGACGTATGATATTTAATTTAAAAACTTATAAATCATAACTAAACGCACAACCTAAAATTCTATTCAAAGTTCAAAATATTTAAAAATATTCAAAAAAATATTTTTTTTATTTAATATATAAAAAAACAAATGCCAATTGCCAAAAAAAAAAATTTACATTCTTCCGGTCAATTGGCCGGACGATCGGATAAACCAAATTTCAAAATCCAAATCCCGTCTAATACGAGTTTTCAAAAGGGATGTGAAATTAATTTTTGAAACTTATAACTGAACAACATACTCAAATAGAAGGGGTGAAATTATGATTTAAGAGTTTCACCAAACACAGCCTTTAATTTTTTTTTAACTACAAGTCTTTATCGGCAAACCAGACGTTAGAAAAAGTTGGGCATCACTAAACATCTAGTTCCCCGAAAAATATAAAATTAAAATTCAGAATTAAAATTATTATTCAATAATGTAATATGTGATCTAAATTTAATAGTAAATTTCACCATATAAAAAAGAAGAATCTCTGATTAGTCATATTTATGTTTGGAATATTATTTTGGGCTAAAATAGTACAAAATTGACTATTTTAATCAAATAGAATAAATGTCACATCTAACTTATGATCATTTCATTTTTTCTGTTATAAAAGTTAAAAAAATCAAAAAACTTATTTCAAATGAGTCTTTGTAACCCTAAATCAAAATAATTAAAAAATAAAAAATCTTGAGTTTTCCTTTTGGGATGCTTAAGCTTATTATTGTTACCAAAAGACAACCCAAAATGAGGGTGAATTAAGTTTTTACAATTAAAAATTAATAATACCCTAATAAAAATTATGGCTAGCACAATAGATAAATATAGTTAATGAAATAAAAATAATTAAAACAAGTGTTCTAACAACTATGTCAGTTAATGATTTTAGCACAGTGAAAATGTGAAATATAGTTACAACAATTTAAATAAAATAAAGAGATAAGGGAGAGAGAGGTAAACAAATTTATAGTGGTTTGATTTCAACTCGGCCTACGTCCACTCCTCAAGCTTCACTTGAGATTTTTCACTATACTCTAGCTTCACGGGGGTGCTAGCAACCTCTTTACAAATGGAGCAATCCTCCACGGAATTTATACAGACTTTCTAAGTCAAGAACACTGAGTGTACAACACTCTTACAAGGTAGAAAAGAAGGTATTTTTGCTTTCACAGAAAACCACAAGAATTATCTCTCAAAGATAAATATAAAAATGAAGCTTTGATTTTTCTATAAACCTCACACAAGAAAGATGGGTTTAAAGTTATAAGGCTCAGTGTATAATTTCTGAGAGATGATGCAAATAAAAATTGAACAATTCTTTTTAGAGAATTTTTCAGAGAATAGATGTGAGCGATTATAGATCAAAGAATATTTTCAAGTTTTTTTGTAACTTGTTTTACATTAGAGACTTTGGTATATATAATGAAAATTATAGCCGTTTATAGCCATTGTAATCATCATCACTAATTTGAATATCTTTCACTTGAACCTTTTGAACCTTTTGACCTATTCATTTGAATTTATAGCCGTTGTAACTCCATCATTACTAATTTGAATATCTTTCCCTCCATCATTACAAATTTGAATATCTTTCACTTGAATCTTTTGAACCTTTTGAACTATTCATTTGAATTTATAATCGTTTATAGCCGTTGTAACTCCATCATTACTAATTTGAATATCTTTCCCTCCATCATTACAAATTTGAATATCTTCCACTTGAATATTTTAAACTTTTTGAACTGCTGCTGTGCTGAGCTATTTGAACCTCTATTTTGTGCTGTTTGAACTCCTGATTTAATCAAATATTAAATACATTCTAACAACATTTAGGATAAAGGTTTAGGTGAGAAATAATGAGACAAAATAAATTTTGATTCTATTTTTCTTTTTCAAATAAATTAAAACATAATTAAATAAATAAGTCTAATAATTATGTTTAAGGCATATAATCTGATAAATAAATGGTTTGAGATAATTTTTCTTTTTAATATTGATGTAAAGGTGAAAATACATTTATTAATTTAAATAATTGATTTTGATTTGTTGATATTAGAGGACATGTTGATGTAATTATATCAAATTATGGAATCTATTGATTTTTTAAATTTTTTTTTAAAGAAGTCAATGTAATTTATCTCAGACTTGGTTTGGGGTACACTAAATAATACAAAAAGTCACTATCTTATTTAAGTCATATCATCTTATTTAAATCACATAATCTCTCTAACACATCACATCAAACACAACACATATAAGTCAATAAGTCAAAAAGTATAATTTTTTAGAACATCCCAAACCAAATCAAACATAATATTTGATCAACTTAATTTTTAATATAAATAATGTACCCAAGAATTGAGTCCTACTAAATAAACAATTTAAATTGCCAAGACAAATCCAAAATGTGTTCATAGTGAACTAGACTAAATTTTTCCAATCCCATCAAAGACAGAGAGGATTACCTCCTACCTCCTAAAACAAAATTGGAGTGACATTTGAGACTAGATTTTAATTGAGCCAAAACCTCAAGGTAATGCTATCTGTGTTGGCAACAAGTTTAAAAAAAAAAAAAAAAAAAAAAAAAAAAAAAAGAAGAAGAAGAAGAAGAAGAAAAAGAGTTAGTTTTTTGGTTTTTTAATTTTTTTAGTCAAAAAAAATTATTTTTTTTGTCAAAAAAATTTAAAAGTCAAAAAATCAACTTTTTACCAATTTTCTAAAACATTCCATAGTAAAGTCATTTAATCATGTAGTGATAAATTACGAACTTGTACACAAATTAAAATTCAAACTTGCATTTTTTACATTTTGTACGATTCACTCAGGTTTAAAAAATTCATCTTACCAACTGTATGTAGTAGGTGTTTGGGAAGTTGCTATTTTAATAGATTATTTTAGTTTTTGGTTATTTAGTAGGTTAAAATCTTTTAATTTGGAAAGATGATTAGATTTTTTTGTAATTGGATATGATGTTTGTAAGAGAAAAAATAAAATAATTATGAGTTTGATGTTATATTTAGGTCTGTTCAAAAATCCGTTCAAAACAATAATTCGGACCCCGTATGGTTTGGTTCTGTTCTATTCAGAACTGATTCGATTTCGGTTCAAGAAATATTGAGAACTGTAAAAATGGTTCGGTTAATGGATTTTATGAAAAAATCACAGTTTGAACCGAACCGAACCGAACTTAACTTAACCGAATTTTAAAACCTATATATATATATATAATATTTAATAAATAGCAGCAGTCCTTCATAAATTCACCTCAAGCACATCTCCATTCTCGAGAGAGAACTCGAAGGGCCTCGTTTCTTGACCTCTAAATTCGTCTCCTTGATTCCATCTTCGTCTCTTTGTTTCTCTCACGCTCTCATTTTCTTTTAATACTACAGCTTACAACAAGCCAATCATACCATCAACCATCTCTATCTCTCTCAATCTCATCATAGCACTACCTTCCACCATTGTTACTGTTAGGACCTCCAAGCTTGTAGAATGTTTGATTTGTTTGCAAGATTGGTCGCGTGCTTCACCACTTCCACTTGAAGTGGAAGAAAATATTGCGGACATTGAAGAACTCGAACAAGGTAATATTGGTATTTTGTTATGAAATTTATTTTCATGTATTATGTACTTCATTTTAAATTAATGTTATCTCTTTTTTGCAATTTCAACTCTAAATGTTGTGTCTCTGAATGTGATTACTGACTAATAGAAGATGATTTGGCTGTTGGAAAGTTGGAAAAGACCACTGTTGCTGATTTTGTTGTTGTAGTTGATTTTGTTGCTGGGCTACTAATGTTGCTAGTTGCTGTTATTGTTTTCATTTTGCTGCTGTTTGAAACTTGGAATGCTCTCTTTTGGAAACTTAGAAATGCTCTCCTTTGGCTGTTGTATTTGCATCAATATTGTTTAACTTGTCTTATGTTTTTGTTGTTTTTTATTTAGAAAAGTTTCTATTAACTGTTTGCAATGTTTAGGATGTTTTTAAATAATATTGGATGATTGAATGATTTCAAATTTCAATGGTATGTAATGGGTATTATCATATCAAGTTTTATTTTTATTAATTGGTTTTTTGTAATTTTAATGATATTAGGATGATATAAATATGTAATGTTAAGTAATGCCTTAATATTATTAGTTTTTATCATGGGTTAAATATAATCAGTTTGAGTAATTATTTTGTTAATATTAACAATTTATTCTTGTAAATAGAAATTTTTTGAACCGTGAAACAAACCGCAACTGAATTGTTATTTCGGTTTGGTTCTAGTCCAGTTTTACAAGTGTAATGATTTGGTTTGATTCATGAATTTTCTCAGAACCAAACCAATCTAGACCGTATACACCCCCAGTGATATTTTATTTTATTAATTATTTTAATCTAATTTATCTTTTTATAAATTTTAGCCTAATTAAAACTTTATTTGGAAACAAACTATTTCAATAATTTTTTACGAAAAGATGTAAAAAAAAAAATAAAAAGAATGATATGACGATTTATAATAAATTTTTTGAGTCAAATAAAAAATTGTCAAGCAATATATAAGGCCTCATTTGGGAACCCTTCCATTTAGTCAAAAAGTTAAAAAATTATTAAAAAAGTCAAAAAATCAACAACTCATACCAAAAAGTCAAAGATTCTCTTTTCTCTTTACTTTTTGTACATCTTTTCATAAAAAATTAAAAAATCATCTTAAACATACTATTTTTTTTAGCTCATATTTTAATCAAATAACTAAAAAAATTACTAAATTAACATGTTTTTAGACGGGCCTAAGTTAAAATCTCGTTTTCCAAATACTCCCATACTAGCGCTCAAATGATTAACCCGACACAAATCAAACTCAAGACCTTGGGTATAACACCACAGTCTTATCACTCAACCACACCTCCTCCTTTTTAAAAAAAAAAAAAAAATTGTCTAACAAATAAATATTGAATATTAAATATTATAAAAAAAAAAACAAGAAATGTAAAAAGAGAGATGTGTGTCGGAGTAAACAGGGGAGAAATCTACGGTAGCGTTTGCGTTACTCAAAATAACTGAAACAAAAGGTCACCTCACCATATGAATGGTTAAAGGTAATCTCATCCCTGTCTGTCTCTGCCTCCTGAAGCAGCAACTTTTTGGAACAGAAAAAAGTGTAATTTCACATCTAATTCAGGCCCATACAGTTTGTTCTTCTGGGACGCATTGTAGATAACAATAATGATACAGACCACTAAAACATTAAATTCGGATCCTCGGTAGCATTTTCCCGTCGCCATTTCCTATAACCCCCCAAAACGACGTCGTTTTGGAGGGTTTTTTTATTTTTTTTTCTTTTCTTTTTCTTCTTTCTCTTCCATCTGTGTTTGGTAGAAACCAGAGGGGGTACAAACCAGAGGGGGAGGGGAGAGGAAGGGAGAAGAGAGAGAGGAAGGGAGAAGAGAGAGAGAGTGAAAGCAGACAGAGAGAGGGACAGAAATGGAAGCTCGAGGGGAAGAAGAGAGAGAGGAAGGGAGAAGAGAGAGAGACTGAAAGCAGAGAGAGAGAGTGACAGAAATGGCGAGAAGCTCCTCGCCGGCCTCGCCGGCCGTGACCCTCCTCTTCGCCGAGAAGCTTCTCGCCGGCCGTGACCCTCCTCATCGCCGAGAAGCTCCTCGCTGGCCGTGACCCCGAGAAGCTCCTTTCCTCTCTCTCTCTCTTCTTCCCCTCCCCTCCCCTCCACTCCCTTCTGGTTTTTACCGGCTGTGACCCCGAGAAGCTTTCCTCTCTCTCTCTCTTCTCCCCCTCCCCTCCCCCTCTGGTTTCTACCAAACGCCATGAATGGCTGACGGAAGAGAAAGAAGAAAAAGAAAAGAAAAAAAAATAAAAAAATCCCCCAAAACGACGTCGTTTTGGGGGGCTACAGGAAATGGCGACGGGAAAATGCTACCGAGGATCCGGATTTCAAAAACATCACCACTAACATCACCACTAATGATGTGGCAAGTCAAAAAAAAAAACAAAAACAAAAAATTAAGACACAAAACACATGTGGCAGTGGGTGGGACCCACTGCCACATCCCTAATGCAACCACTAATTAGTGGTATGATATTGGGTGTTTTGTTAAGTTATCTAATCAAAATCTTTCTAGTAATATATTATGGTCTATTTTAATAATTTAATTAAAAATTATTTTTTTAACTTTTTAATTTTTTTCTTCTTTCTAAAACAAGCCTATGAATGTAGATGTATCATATCATCACTTTGCATCATCAGCGAAGTTTGTGCTTGTTGGAATTGATGTGTGCATAATTGAGGGACTATTTGAAATAATTTAAAAAAATATATTTTTTATTTTTTTATTTTTTACTTAACTTTTTATAAAAAATTAAAAATTATACTTATTCACGTCATTTCAAACACCCTTTGAGTACACAAATAAAATAGACACAGAGAAAGGTATAATTAAAGTTGGAAAATTTACAAATCAATAACACTCTCTTAATAAATTAAAAAAAAAAAAAAAAAAGCCAATAATTATTATAAATTAGTAAAAGACCCTATCTAATTAAAATTTTATTTTGTCTTTGAAAAGTGTGTGTGTAGACACCCCATTTTTGACCGACCTTAAGACTCAGACGTCACCAATTGAGTGCTTGGTGATGATGCATATTGTGCTCGTTCTGGGGTTTCAAAGTCTCGGCTGCGAGCCTTGCCTCCGGACTTCGGAGCCTTTTGCGCCTTGCCTCGGTTTGCGAACCAGGTCCTATTTTTTCTGTTTTCTCTTCCCAAAGGGGTTTGTTTACTATATAAATTGTTTTTTGGCTTTTTAATTTTTTTAATTATTTTAATTTATGGTTAAAAAGTCTTATTTAAATTAATTTTTTAATTTTTTTAATTTTATAAAAAGAAATAAAATAAAATGATTATAACTTAAATGTGACATTTTATTTTATTAATTTTTTAATTTATTTTATACTTTCATGATATTTTAACCTTTTAATCTCAAAAATTTTCATGCCAAATGAGGGTTCTATCCCTTCCCAATTCCATTTTGCTTTCTTAATGCAATTCACTTCTTTTTTTTCTTTTTTTCCAAATTTTTTTTAATCAATTCCATTGCTTTTTACAAACAAAAAATATATGACACAAATTTTCATTTTCAATTTTTGAAAAAAAAAAAAAATTAACTTGGGTATTATACTCAAGATTTCAAATTCAACACTACTCAAGGTTAGTTATTAGGACGACAACACACAAGATTAATAAGACGAACTTTTAAAGTCTAGATAAATAATTTCAACACTATTCAGAGTTAGTTATTAGGACGACAACACACAAGATTAATAAGACGAACTTTTAAAGTCTAGATAAATAATTTCAACACTACTCAGAGTTAGTTATTAGGACAACAACACACAAGATTAATAAGACGGACATTTAAAGTCTAGATAAACGGTACCTAGTTTCAGAAATTTGGATTCAAATCCGTACCTATTATCATTATATAATTAAATAATCATATTATGTAACAGCCTAATAGGTCACCTTGGAGACCTTAACTCCCTTAGACCTCCCTCTTTTTGTGCTCCAAATTGAGAATATACCAAATATTTCATCAAATTGAGGATGTTTTGTGTCTTTCATCCAGTCACTATTTATTACTGTTGTATTTTTACCACCGGATTTCCCCCTGGATGTCCTCTCGGATGATCATCTCAAGGCAAAATTTTGTGAAAATTTTATACTGAAAGGTTGACCTTCCGGTCAACCTCTGGATGACCCCTTATCATTTTGGTCAGTAATGTTGTTTCCTGTCCCATTGTGAAAATTTTACATTAGCTGGTTGACCGCTTGATTGTTCGCCCAGTCGATCGGTGGTTTGATGAAAAGTCAAATCCTTCTATTAAAACAAATGATATCAAATAAAATTTTTACTCATATTTTAATTCAAATTTAATATAAAAAAATACACCGTTAAAAATGTTCTTAAACTCTAAGAAGTGACCGCTAGGCGTTTTTAGACTAACTTGTTTCTCTCCAACTAATAAACTACTTTTTAGGTGAAACCAAACATACCTGGTTCCAGCCTTAGGACCTAGCTTACTTAGCCTAGGTGCACACCCATATCCTGCACCCAAAGATTTTTTTGCTAACAAATCTCCATTCATTCGTATCATATCATCATATCAACCTACCTAATATTTGATCTCTCTCACTCATCACCCCCCTATTTACTATATATGATTGAATTAAATGTTTGTCTCAACTCACTCCTGTGTCCAAAAGACAATTGGGTAAACTAAAACTAAGCTTTTAAAAATGGATTGTTTCTCTTACTTTGTTGGCCAACCAAACAACAAAGAAAAGAAGAAGAAAAGCAGAAAAGTAGTGAAGCTCTCTACAGACCCACAAAGCGTGGCGGCTCGAGAGAGGAGGCACAGGATCAGTGACAAGTTCAAGACATTGCAGAACTTGGTCCCTGGTGGTGCTAAGATGGACACAGTGTCCATGTTAGAGGAAGCTATTCACTATGTCAAGTTCTTGCAGACTCAGATATGGCTTCATCAGACCATGATCGACTTTATGGACGATCATGATCATGACACTTCTGTGTTGATTCCACCTAATAGTGGTGGTGTTGATCAGTGGAGTCTCTGCTTGCCAGAAAACTTGGTGGGTAGTGGAGAAGTGGTGGCGCCGCCGGATTCTTGTTTCCAAGGTGGAGAAACCAAGGGTTTTGGTGGAACCATGAATTACTAGTAGCTCAAATAATGTCTGTCATAAGTTGTATTGGTGGTAATGGTGAATTTAGATTAGTTTAGCGGAAAGGAATTAGGAGTATTGTTTTAAGGGTTATTATGTTAATGTGATGGAGTGAGAAAACTTGTATGGTATGACTCTAGCTATGATATGATATTAATGTGCAAGTTTAAGTATAATTGTGATTATATTTAAGTTCGATCGTAGCATGCGATATGGAGAAAATAATTGAGAGCACGCCACAAATACATATTTATCTTTGATTTTTATAAAATTCACATGAGTTTTGTAAAAATTGAAGATAGGCAATATTGCCATATCAATGACGCAAATGATAATGAATAATTACTTGTCAAATGAATTATGAAAAATTGATAAGAAAGATTATAGGGCATTCGGGTCAAAGATCTAAATTTAAATTTAAATTTTTGTCATCTGTATGTGTAACCATTAAAACACTTTATTCATAAGGATAAACTCATATAAAAAAATCAAATTACCCATTATTTATATCCAAATTATGGCCATTCACACCTATTTTCAATCCCAAAAAATTCTATAAACTTTAAATAATTCATCAAATTTTTTATCAAACCTTTTACGTGGGTGTAAGATCCACATAAATTCATATATGTATGGGTCTTGCAGCCATATAAAAAGTTCGGTAAAAAATTTACAAAAATGCTTCAGACTCCCATTTTAGTGACCCCCACAACCCCCAGCTGACGTGGAGAGTGTCACGTGGAATCACTACAACAAAATACACCTTTGGCGACTAAAACAAATTTAGTCGCCAAAAGTTTTGGAATTGGCGACTAAAACTTTTTTTTGGTCGCCAAAAGTATGAAATTTAGCTACCAAATTTTTTTAGTCGGGATATATTGATTATTGGCGACTAAAAATTAATTCAGTCGCTGAAAATACTAGAATTGGCGACAAAAAAAAATTTTGGTCGGCGTATGTTGAGCTTTGGCTACTAAAATATTTAGTCGCCAAATGTAAAATTAAAAATTTATTTTTTATCTTTTGGCGACCAAAAGTTTAGTCGCCAAAACATATTTTCAGCGACCAAAAATTGGTTTAGTCGCCAAAAAATAAAAAAATTGGAGGGAGACATTTCTAATTTAAATTTGAGGGATTTATAAAAGTAATTGGCGACTAAAGTTTTTAGTCGCTAATGGTGTCACATATAAGTAATTGGCGACCATTAGGTACTTTAGTCGTCAATTGTATAAAATGATATATATATATTTTGTACCAAACCAAACCCTAAAATAATCTGCGCCTCTCTCTCTATTCGGCGTCCCTCTCCCTCTCCCTTCCCATCTCCGCTACTCCTCTCCCCTCCCTCTCTCACTGCCGCTCTTCTTCGCCTTCGACGGAAACCGAAGCACCTCCTCCTCACGCCGCCGCCTCCTCCTCCTCCGCCAATCTTCACAGATCCACCGCCGCGAGATCCAGAGGCTTCATCGTTGAGATGAACTCTGCTCCATTGATGGTCCGTCTCGCGTATGCTTTCTCTCTCTCTCTCAAAATATTCAGAGGTTTCTTGTGGGGATCTTAAAGATCTGATTGGTCCTTTTGATTTTCACTTTTGATCTTAAAAATCAATACATACATACTATATACACACATCAACCTTTATCATCGTGGTAGCTTTCGATTTATTCCCTTTCAATTCGATGCATTTGATTATCTTTATCCACTTTATTTTATTTTATTTTATTGGTTTTTCATTTTTGAAAAGATTGTCACAGTTTGTATGTTTTATCGATGTTTCGATTTTCCCCCTTACAAAATGGGTTAATTTCTTTTTTTTCTTTCCTTTTCGATTTCAATTTTTATTTGTTTATTTTTTTGACAATTGATTTTGAGTTTGTTTTGCAAGTACTGATCAGTTTTTTGGGTTTGTTTTGATTTTGAATTTTGTTTCAGGTTCTATAGCTCTGTAGAATTAGTATATATCAACTTTAGAACTCTGTGGTAGATCGCACAAATCTCAAAATTTTAAGGGGCTTTGCACGCTGTTCATCCAACAGGTATGCTCTTTTCATCACTTGATATACTCGTCTATATATATACATATTTTGAGTAGGCAAATTAAAGAGACTTTTAAATATGCTTCAAATTCAATTTAAGGTTGCTTCTGTTGACATGTTGTGGCCTTCTTTGTTGTGATTTCATAAATCTGAATGTCTTCAATCACCATTGCTAGTAATAGCCTTAACAATACTGCCTATGAGATGATTGAAAAAACCATGCCATCTCCCTCCCAGGATTATGAATAAAGATATTGAGACCTCAAAAAGTACACGCTAAACTACTCCCCACTCGCATGAGTGGCAGAGAACCCACACCATATGATGATGTGGGTCTCACTTCCCACGTGAGTGGAGAGCAATTTAGCGTGTGTCCCTAGCAATGCTGCAGGATTATATCCACTGCCATCATTCTACTGTGTTAGCTTTTGTCATGAATAATGCAGTGAGAAATAAAATACACATGCACCTAACATGGTGTAAGAATTTCAAGAAAAAGAATTTGAATGCCTTCTAATTGTGCTTTGGCAATTTTATAAAGTGAGATAATATATGTCATGATTTAAAAAAGAGAAACAAGCATGTGGGTCTTTGATACACTTTAAATCTGTGGTTTAGGACCTATATAATTTACATGAAATACAATCACAAGTTGAAATCTTGGATCCATAAGTCATGCATGTTATGTATGGTAACCTTATGGCCCTTATTGAAGCTGAAAATCAGCAAGTAGTAGTGGCTGGCAGGAAGGAGAGCTGTGGATATCTGTGAGGAACATGTCCTCAACTAGTTGTGTTATGAATTGTGAGACTATGCCATAATATGTTTCATTCTTTTGTTGCATCCTTATTTCACTTCTTTTAATAAGCCAACATGTTTTAGTATGTTGAATGCAATGTATGTCCTTCATTTTAATATGACTGTATGGTCACATGCTCCTATCAAAGGGTGGATCAACTTTGAAAGCATGGACCACTTTCTCCCCTCTTTTTTCAATTGATGCCTTATCTACTTTCTCTTTCATTTTTTTATTTATTTATTTTTTAGGGAAAATTACATACACACACAAAAAAAATAAAAACCCACGGTTTAACCATTTTGGTGTTTTTGTTAGTCGTTTTTGTTAGTTGGTTTCTTGCCAAATTAACAATTAGATATTAATTTGGTTTAATCCTCTGTTATGTATGGATATACATGGTCTGAACTTCGAAATACGTCTTGGTATATAGTTGAGATAAATCAAACCAAACGAAACTAAGCCTTGTTTCCCAATCAAATGAAGTCGGTAACATAAATCCTTTTCTGCTACTCCGCTCTGTCAAGAGCTATATGCTCAGTTGAATTAAACAAGTTCATTTTCCCCCCCTGCTACTCTGCTCTGTCAATTCAATTTCTGCTGCAGCACTCTTTCAAAGACATTGGATTTGGTAGTTATCTGTTCACTTTTTTACCCCTTTGCATACGTCCATTTCCATTTACGGTGATCATATCACTCTTCCTAGCTGTTGAGATAAGTAGACAGATTTTAATTTTGTTTCTTAACAATCTTAAGTGTGAGGTTTACTCAAATTTTCCTTCCTTGAAAGTATACTTGGATTGAGAGTGGGTCTGATCTGCATGTGGCTTAACAATGCAAATCTACATAATTAAATGCTGTAGGTTAAGTCAAGAATGATGGGGGGATTGTTCTGCATATAAAAGTACTCTTGATTGTTTCATCAAGACTTTGAAGAACGATGTAAGTTCATCATCTTTCTACCCTGTTTTGATACATTGTTCATCATTTTTCTTCAATATTTATGAAAGAACATGATGATTTGACAAGATGTTTTCTTTTGAAAGCTTTTGTGCCTTTCTACAAATACCTAATATAATCAAACAGAGAATAAAATGGATTGTCATATATTTGATCAAAAAAAAAAAAAATTTGTCTCAATATTACTTGTTATGTTACGCAGGGGCCTTTTGCTTTCAACTATCTCAATAGTAGGCTTATCATCATATTTAATGTGGTCACTTTTGGCAGTGTCAAGAAAATGAAGCTTGATTTCCTTTGTTAGGTTGCTAATTTTTTTCTTTTTTGTTCTTTTTTCTCATAACAGGCTAAGAAGTTTGTTAGAAGTATATAGTCACCTTGAGTTTAGAGGATAGACAGTGACGCCAGCCGTGAAGACATTTTGGATGGTGATTGCTTCCATAACCGATGAATGTTTAGAGAAAAATAAAATGCATTGCTGTTGTTTTTGTTGTTGTTCCCATTTTTTGATGCTTAATAAAGGGTCCTAACGAAAAAAACAATTGGAAAGATTTTGGCAACTTGGTGACATGTATGCAGTTATGATTTTTGCATTCCTCTGGTGTGAATATGTAGACAAGGCTTTCTTGGGCCGTAGTTTATCGAAACCTAAAGGGTGAGGATCAACTCTGGTCACTCGACTGCATTGGTTCCGAGCCAGTCATTGCAATGCAACGGTTGGACTGAAGTGAATATGCAGCTTTCGGTTTTGCTTCAGTAATTGCTTTGAGGGTTGGACTGCAGCTGGCTTCATCACAAGTTTTTATTTTATTTTATTTTACTTTTTATGTTTTTGGTGTTTTTGTTAGTTGGTTTCTTGCCAAATTAACAATTAGATATTAATTTTGTTTAATTCTCTGTTATGTATGGAATTATATTTTTCAGATTGGATTATACTTGATTTGTATAGAATTTTTTTTGGAAATATTAATTTGATGTTAAATATGATTTTTTTTTTTTATGGTTGAAAGTGAAATGTGTGTGTGTTGTGGAATGGTTGATAATTTTATCAGTATATAGATAATTTTATTTATAAAATGGGAAAAAACTTTTGGCTACTAAATATTTGGTAGCTAAAAATAAAAATAAAATGGAGAAAAACTTTTGGCTACTAAATATTTGGTAGCTAAAAATAAAAATAAAAATAAAATGGAGAAAAACTTTTGGCTACTAAATATTTGGTAGCTAAAAATAAAAATAAAATGGAGAAAAAATTTTGGCTACTAAATATTTAGTAGCTAAAAAAAAAACAGACTTTAAGCGACTAAGAATTTAGTAGCTAAAAAAATAAAATGAAAAAAAATAAAAAAAAAAAGATGAAAAAAATCCTTTGGCGACTAAAACTTTGGTCGCCATAGATACTTTAAGTTTTGGCGACCAAAGTTTTAGTAGCTGAAAATAAGATTTTCAGTGACTAAAATTTTATTTTAGGCGACTAAAAATATTAGTCGCCATTTATAGTACTTTTGGCGACTAAAAAATATTTAGTCGCCAATGCCTTCCCCGACAAGTGTTCCGCGACCAGTCTAGCGACCAAAATATTTAGTCGGGCAAAGTATTTGGCGACTAAAAATTGTACTTTTGGCGACTAAAAATTTAGTCGCCAAATGTGCATTTTGTTGTAGTGAATGAAAGCCCACACGCCCATCTCATCCCTCATCTCTCTCTTTTCTCTTTCATTTGTGCAAACCATTCAACCTCTCTCTCTTCACTATTGCTCCGGCCACCTCCGTCATCGTCGAAGTATCGTGACGATGACAAGGAGATCTAACCACCACCATTCGTCGTTGGTCGTCGCGTCGCCCTTCGTCAGTAGAGAGAAAGAGAGAAGACCTTAGAGAGAGAGAGAGAGTGTGTGTGTGTGTGTGTGTGTGTATTTGCTGAGAGTGGGTTTGTCATGTTTGCTGGGTTTGGTGTCGACATTGAAGGAAGGGGGTTGGGGAGGGAAATCAGCAGTTGGCGTTGGGGTGGATAGAAGAGATAGAGAGAGAGAAGAAGAGGAAATGAGAGAGAGAGAGAGAGGGGAAAAGAATGTTTAGAGAGAGAAGGTATGTAGGGCATGTAACATAAATCCTTTTCTGCTACTCCGCTCTTAATAATAATAATAATAATAATAATAATAATAATAATAATAATAATAATAATAATAATAATAATAATAATAATAATAATAATAATAATAATAATAATAATAATAATAATAATAATAATAATAATAATAATAATAATAATAATAATAATAATAATAATAAATAATTAAAAAAAATATTAAGAAAACATTTAAATGACATGTGCTAAAATAATCTAATGGTTTAATTATGTGAGAATTTGGGCCAAAGATAAATAAATAAATAAGTAAATAAATAAATAAACTAATTAAACTTATCCATTTGGGATAAGCTCATATCTCTAAGGGATACCTCCTAAGCATCATAATGACTTAGCTCAGGCAACGTGTCACCCTATGAACTTGCTGAGCAAGTATGAGGCTTAGTATAAATAAGGGAGTTGAGGTGAATAGGAAATCAAGGAAAACAAAAACACAAAACAAATGTAATCGAGGAAAGAGTCAGCACGCGGTGAAAGGGAGCACGAATAGGAGTTACTATATCAGTGAGTTATATGATACCTTAAGCTACCATAATATGTTTTATATATGTATTGAGTTACCACAAATTTATTTTATATAATTCATACTTTATAATTATGTTAATGTTTCAATTACGTGGATTATTTTCTGAACTCTATTTGCTTAAATTAAAACTCATGGATATGTTTATTTAAATTTCAGAAAATATTTGACAATGATTTCACAAACTTTTGTTTTGAATAAGTACCACCATGGAGGTTCCCTTTGACAGTTCCATGCCTTGGGAGATTTAAATAACCTTTGGCCGTTTGATTAGTCACTTCGTGACCCTCTGTCTGTCATGGATCCATTGACCATCTGTTCTGTTCTGTACCGTGGTTATGATTATTTTGTTATAAAATTTTGTGTTATATGTCTGTTATTAAAAATAATTTATTTGAACCAAACTATTCATCTTTAGCCTAAATAATTATCCATGATGATTTTATACCCTCATGCTCTCAGTATAATATTTCTCACTCTGTCATCTACTTATAACTGTTAAAACCCCTTTCAGGTGAAGAAATTTAAAGAATGATGGTTTACCTGTGGATTAGAACCTCAAATTTGTTATGGATATCATGTTTTTTTTTTTGTTGTAGTCATTATCCAACTAATGTTATATCATAAATAAAAATTTCCATGTACGCTTCAGATACTAATCTACCTCTTTTATTTTATTTCGCTACATTATTTAAATTAATTACTTGGAATTACTTTGTGGGATTTTAGGATTAGCTAGTCGCGATCCAGCCTTGGTCATCGGGATAGGTCGTGACAAAAGTGGTATCAGAGCAATGGTTAAAAACAAAAAAAGAAAAAGAAAAAGAATTACCTTAGTCCTTATGGTCTTACCTTAGTCCTTATAGTGAGAAGTCTTTTCTTAGTTCTATAGCTAAGTTGGGCATCCTGTAGTGCAGGCAATGTCAGAACTTAACTTTGGCAACTCTTTTTGGTATGGGCCTGATCCTCCGGACGTTAAAGGAATTTTTGAAAATAACAATTACGTTCCAAACTTACCAGAGGAAATAGGAGACTCTGAAGCAATTGTTAGGCAGGCAGACCTGATTTTCAACCGACTTATGGGCCGACCAGTATACTTAAAGGCTGTCCCCACAGCAGTAGAGACACAGTGGTGGAGAGTTGATGCTATGAGTACCTTAGACAGGTTTTTAGGACCCACACGGGTAGTAAGCATGGCCTCGAGTCAGGAATATCCTCGCTATTTAGTAGCACCTTTACCTCAAGAGTTTATGGCCTGACGAGGGCATTCTTTCTTAAGTGATCACATTCAAGCAAGAGTCCTTCCCCCTCAGAACCTAATTGACACTTAGACGGTTGACTTTGGTGACATTACGACGTATGTGGAGGTACCTGTGCGTATCATAGGACGACAACTGTGGGGTTATGAGACAGGTAGCCCCATATTCCAAGTGGAGGTGGCATGGCGATGTTTTGGCATAGAGCAAAACGGATGGGAGTTTGAGCATCACATGCAGCTGCAGTACCCATGGCTGTTTTCAACCTAAGATCCTGATAACAAAATCCTTTCTTTTGTTGTTTTTGTGTTTTTCTTTCGTTTGGTGTCTAAGCAAGCTGACCATGACCTAGTTCTAACCCGTTTTGTCATGGAGGGTTAGGCAATAAAATTGACATAACTACAAGTAATGTACCAACACCATTATACATAAATAAAACCGATGTTTTATGAATAATGTTTATATTATCTATGTTTTGTAGATTATGTGAATATGTTTTAATTTAGGTAATTAATAGAAATCTTGCACCATATTTATTAAAATTGTTTTATAGCTATGGCTAACGATGGAAATGGTACCGGGTCATCATCCAATTGAGCCGATCCAATGGAACGGATTATGGAAAGAGCTATTAACAGTTTCTTGCAAGCCTTGCAGAACAATGGGTCACCAGAACATCGAGAAGGGACAACTACAGTTAAACGATTCCAAGACCTGAATCCTTTCATGTTCACAGGAGGTTCAAATCCTTTGATAGCTGAAGCTTAGGTTAAAGAAATGGAGAAGATTTTTCGTGCCCTACCCTACACAAAAGAACATAAAGTATCTTTCGCCACTTTCACCTTCAAGGAAGATGCGCAGGAATGATGGCTTCTCACCTTAGAAAAAGAAGAGATCGTGACTTGGGTGAGATTCCTAGAGGTGTTCTATGAAAAGTATTTTCCAGAATCACTACGGGAGCAGAAAGTATCCGAGTTCCTACATTTGAGGCAAGGAGCAATGTCGGTGGCGAAGTACGAAAGTAAGTTCACACGACTAGTACGATTTGCACCGTATGTTATTCCGACAGAAGCCTGAAGAGCAAGGAAATTCGAAGCAGGATTAGATGCAGAAATCAAAGATAGGCTTGAGGTTCTGAAACAACCGACCTATGTAGAGGTGGTAGATCGAGCATATATCACCAAAAAAGGAATTAAAACCGCACGTTCTAGTGAAATTGGGCAAAATAAACAGTTTTGGGAACTAGTCGGAGGATCAAGGGTAGCCCCACCAAAGAAAGTAAATCCCGGATCTACTAGCTCAATTGGTCCGGCCAACCAGAGTTTTACTATTCCCAGGGATAACACCATTCCAAATTGTCCAAGTTACGAAAAGGCTCATAAGGGACAATGCTATCGGGCAATAGGAGCATGTTATAAATATGGCCAAGTTGGCCATGTGATGAAAAACTGCCCGAAATTCACCAACTTTGTGATAAGTACCTCTGAACTAGCTCAGAAACCAGAAACCGCCACAGGAGGGAAAAAGGAATAGAGACGC